GGTCGGCTCGTTGTGAAGAAAACATGATGTATGTTTGGGAGCAAGGGCAATTATTTATAAAATATCTACAAGTCACGAATATATGGGACGGAGTGGTCTAGCGGTAGAGAGCTGGACTACTAAGTCTGGAGTTCGAATCCGGGTTCAAGTCAGTAGACCGTCCCTGAGTCCACCCAACTCTGATGGGTACCTAACTCACGTTAGGGAGAGTAAAGGCGGCTGGGCATAGTGCTGACCACACTATCTCTTCATATGCCGAGGTCACAGAAACAAGTGAACTCTACTTCACTTGCCCCATAGACCGTCAAGTTTGAAAGGGAAACTTTACACGAATTTAAACCTACATCGAAAAATCCAGTGTTGCATCTACACGTGCCGTCCTTGACTGCGTCACACTCAGCGTTGTCCACACAAGTACCTTTGTTCGGACAATACCTCCCTGGTAAAATACCTTGAGCACGAAATCATAAAGTTAGATAAGTGACGTCATGAAATAAAAATAATCTGAAATAACTAAATGATAGCGCAGTTTAAATTGGTTTCAGTATTTTAAGTAGTAATTTTGCAAGTTTAAATGATGTTCGTATTTCAATTATATTTAAATTAAACTTTATTCGAAAGTGTTGTTGTGGATAATTCTACATCAAAAGTAAATCAAATGTCGATAACAGAAAGTGTTATCTAATAGAATCTATACGTCTGTTATCTAAACCAGAATATGTTGTTGTTGCTAGAATAGGATTATACACAAACACATATACGCGTATATGAACACACACTCACTACCCCATGTACATAAATATAAATATATATTTTACATATATATATATATATATATATATATATATATATATATATATATATATATATATATATATATATATATATATTTATATATATATATATATATATATATATATATATACATCTACAAGAATTATTATGGTTGAAATACTTAGGACTCTTTTCTTGCACAGAGCTGCCTTTAATGTATTACAGTCGTAGTCGTGCCATTGATCTGAGCAAACAAAATTAACGGATGTAATGTATTACATTTCTCTTTAGACAAACATTTCGTTGTTTCAGGTCATCTAAAAAGCATTATCACTGTAAGTCCTAATTTTATTAAAAAATTTTCTATAGTGAAAATAATGATAGACTATGTTCTAACTACTGACGATTTGCATATGGCGGAATTTGACCACAGCTGGTTTATGCTCAGCACTTACGTGTGCTTTTTCTATAGCTGGTTGTAATAAGCTGTTTTTTGTTGTTGTTTTTTTCTTAAGACTATTATGTTTGTGGTGAACTTTTTGCGACATTTGAATGCCTGGCCAACGGGGTCGACTGTGTGAACGATTTATCATGATTTTTACGCTTTTGTTTATATTTCGCTCAATAAACGTTGTGCGAGAAGGGTCTACGACAAATTTCCGAAAGACATTTGTTCGAATGGTATAAATGCCGGAATGGACACTTGCCCGAATGCGACGAATGCCCGAATGAACATTTACCCGAATAGGACAAATGTCGGAATGGACACTTGCCCGAATGGGACAAATGCCCGAATGAACATTTACCCGAAAGGGACAAATGCCCTTGTGGACACTTGCCCGAATGGGACAAATCACCGATTGAACATTTACCCGAAAGAGACAAATGCCCGTGTGGACATTTGCCCTGATGCGACAAGCGGCGTACTCAAATCAAAGAATCCTGTCACAAAAATTATATTTATTGTATCATAAATTCAAGAGCGATTTAACCATTTATTATTACTTTTAAAAAGTTGCATGTGGAAAAAACAAAAAGCTGTGACCCTACCGCCACCGTAGAGAAATGAACAATGTGGATATACCACATAAAAGAAGAGAACTTGTAGTTTAAACCAAGCTGTGGTCAAACCATTTATGGTCAAACACCTCTAACCACAATGATGGAAATCATTTGTAATCCATTTACTTCTATACATTTTAGCAGTCTCACATATTTATTGAAGATATTTTAACATTATATCCAGTTAAAAAAAAACATTAAAAATAAATAAAAAATAGAAATAAAACAACAACAATGATCTAACCTATGTTGACTACAGATACACAATTTTCGATAGTATCTCCATTGTAAGGTTGGTTTTGGCCCCAGTAATTGAATTCAACTTTCTCTCCATTTATCCATCTTAATTGATAGAACGTATTTATAAAATTATCCTGTTTCATTTTGGAGCATAACTTAAAATGGTGTCATTATTTATTTTGAACGTACATGTATAAATATTAATTCAAATGCATGCACTATACCTACAAATACAAGGTTAAAAATACAATGTAATATTTCGATTACTAATTTACTTAATTACGTGGTATGTTAATATATAGGTATTCTTACTTCCATTCTGAAGATTTGTTATGTCGAGTTAATCCAATCCAAAAATTATTTGTAGCCTGATTAAAAAAAGATATTTTAGTTAATGCATATTTTACGGAATAGATCCTATATACATTTGTAAACAAAGAAAAAACATATAAAAAATAATAGGATTTAAAAAGAGAAAGTTGATTTGAGAACAAAGCCCCAAGAAAATAAAATTCATATTCAATGGAAAATGAAAAGCTATTTGAATGTTAATACACAAATTAAAAAGATGAATACGAAGCGAGTTTAAAAACTACACAATTTGTGTATTTGCTAACACTAACTAAAACGATTTTCTTGTTCAAAATAATCTGGTACCGTTTGATTTAGAAACTCCATCTCCGCAAGCGAGTCAATGATAACCAGATCAGCTTTGCACTGCATACAGATGTTTCGTGCAATTTGCCATGGTTGGTATAGATCAGTAAATAAATAATAATGGTTGTTATAGTTCCAAAAGTCACGTAATTCTGTGAGCATATGAAAAACATAAACATTTAAAGAGTATGATTTCATGAGCAAATACTACGTATTATATATATATATATATATATATATATATATATATATATAAACCCCGTCTACGTTAATATACATATAAGCTTTCGAAATGCATTATTTTAACAATTATAACTTGTACCGCTTTATTGCATTTAACAATTACATACTAATTTTTTGTGGGCAACTTGGCTTGTTAGCTTGAGTCTCACACACAAAATAACTTCGATCAAAGCAGAAGTAATTTTCCCAGAATCCTTAAAAATAGTTTTGAACATTTACAAATAACAACCTATCCTATAAGCACACATATGCACTACCACACTCATGTACATACACGAATCCGAATCCGTATAGTGTGCTTCTTTGGATGTCTTTTAAAATTAAGCGGAAGTGATCTCCCCTAAACTTTCTCGAATATTTTTATATAATACTACGGGGGATGGCAACTCGAAATATAGACATGATTTTCAATTAATTTTTACATACTAAAACTTTTTAAAAATAGAACAGAATCTCGTAGAAAAAAAAATTGCGCGCCAAGTGAATAGAAAACAATGCGTTTATAATAGTACTTTATAATGTGAAATTCGTTTTTTTTTTTGTGAAATCAAAAATAGCGTAAAGCACTACTTACGGTCATCGGAAATTACTCAAAAATTGAATAAATATAGAGAATTAAATATTTTACTTATACATGAAATTTTATTTTTCTATCAGAAACAGTAGGCCTACTCAAGTTATAAGCTTTTGAAAAATTAAAAGTAGAAAAAGTTTCACTTACGTTTAGCGAAAATCGCTGAAAAGTTTACACAGAACTACAAATTTGATGCAGTACTGATATATAAAATGTCACCAACCTAGCTGTAACAGTTCTCAAGTTATCGTGTTCACAAACACACATACATACACAGAGTCACACTTATAATTACAATGAGTTATAGTATTATTTAAAACTACACTTTAAAAATGGTTCGATTTAACTAATGTTACTGGTTACTTGACTGGATTTTTTTTGTGGCAATATTTGCTTTCCAGTACACATGTGTTTGTTTAAAACTTTAATTTGCTATTTGCTATTAATGATAGCACAATAAAATGTGTTCACTCTTAAGAGAATTAAAAATATTTTTTTTGTAACGAAATACGAAAATTACGAATTCGACTACGTTACCGTCATTTGAAGCTAAATGAGTGTATGTATTTTAATAAATAAAAAAAATGAAAGAAAAATAACTAAAACACAAAGTATTTTCATTCCCTTTTGCGTCAACATCACATAATTAATTATTACAAAAATTTATCTCAAACCTTCTTTTGTAGTGATAGCACAGTTGAGTCCCTCCACACTTTTATTCTGCGGCTGGCCTGCATCCCATAGATATTCAATTTTCTTTTCACCGCTCACCCATCTTTTTCATGGAAAAGAAGAAAATATTTTAATGCATTTGGTAATCAGGGCCGGCGCTACCTATAAGGCAAAATATGCGGTCGCCTACAGCGCTATCCACAAGGGGGGGGGGGGCGCAAAAATGTGTAATCGCCATTATTAAAAAGTAATGATTAATAACTGTATATGATATTTATTTCAACTGTATATAATTCAGTAAGTTGCATTTTATATTATTAACTACTTATCTATCTATGTATTATTAGCGCCCCTTTGGGTTGGCGCCTGTGTCGGCCGCTCCATCCGCCCTCCCCTATATATAATGACATAAGTATTGTATTTTTACATTTCAGATGATTATGTAATTAACGGGAGGGGTGTAAAAAAGGTTTGCCTAGGGCGCTACATGACCTGGCGCCGGCACTGTTAGCAATGGGTCAGATTAAAACAATCAACTTCAATACTTTAGAGGGGTCGGTCATTTTTTGTCCTAATGATTTTTCATTTTGACGTTTCGAGTAACAAATATAGGCTAATATATAGCACATCTTTTTTACACAAGAAGAAAGTGATTGCCTTCTTCTACTATCTAAACTCTGATTCTTCTAGTTTTGTTTTATTTTTCTTTCAACTGTCTGTTGGTTACTTCCTAATGTTGTGTGTTTTGAGAAATACACGAACTTAAGCTGAATTAATACGAGCAATGTGTTTCATTATAGGTCGCCACTCTACTCACTACTATTGTTTATGTGCGATATAAAGGATCGGCGTGGTCGAGTCGAAAAGTCTCGGTTTCGAACCCTCGGGCAAATGAGGATCGATGGCTGTGGACAGCCACTCTTCTAGGAGAGACAACTCCAAAATCAAACAACTGCTGCCTTGTAGTTTGTTCAGAGGCGTAGCGACCCTTCCCGGCGCCCGGGGACAAACTTTCAATTTGGCGCCCCCTCGGGAGCAAATTTTCGATTTGCACCCCCCCCCCTCGAACTTTTCATTTGCACCCTCCCCCCCTCAAACTTTCGATTTGCACCCCCCCCCCCCTCGAACTTTTCATTTGCACCCCCCCTTCAAACTTTCAATTTGGCGCCCCCCCCCCCCCTAAGGTCGGCGCCCGGGGACATATGTCATCCCCCCCAGCCCCCCCACCCCGCTACGCTATTGAGTTTGTTCTTGGTTGGACAAAGACTATGTGAGCAAATGCAAAAAGAAAAGCAGGCTGAAATCGGAGTTGTCAGCCTATAAGACGTATAACAAGTTGACACGTATAATTAACTATGTTTGAGGGAGTTTTTTCCAACACTACAAACAAAGAACGCAGAAGAAGAACAAAGAAGAAACACTTTAGCGTGACAATATTTAACATTTCGTTCTTGTTTATTTTATCCAGTGGCGGAACTAGAAAAAAAGGGCCACCCCGCAAAAAAATTTTTGGCCCCCCTCATATATATATATATATATATATATATATATATATATATATATATATATATACAAACACAGAATACAAACATTGGATACTCATTAATGGCTTGATCGTTTTTTGAAAAAAAAAAGTGTCTTTTGTTTCAATTTAAACAAATTACAACAAATAATGTGTGTGACTGCATTAGTCTGCTTCAAAAATTTATTTTTTTAGGTTTAGAACTAGATCGATGTAATACTTCCTACCCTTTACCCTTTATCCGGTCAAAAGAATATAAAACATGAAAGCTTTGTAGGTGTAATGGTTTCTCGTGTTATGTTTATTTTTAATGTTTTTTGTTGTTTTATTATTTGTTTTAGATATGTTTCATTTGTATGCTCTGTCATGTTTAGTATGTATTTTTTTTCAAATAATAAGAAAGAGAAGTAATTGCTTTTTAATTTGTTTAGTACACATATATTAAAAGGAGTTTATGAGCACCCCTATTTAACTATTTAAAAAAGGGAAATAAGTCATGGAAGTGTTTTAAACGTTTGCCTATCTTTCACATTACAGCTACGAATATATTTTTTTCCGCAACAGCATTTGTTATCTACTGTATAACATCGCTAATGTAGTAGATCTGTTTGTTATTTACAAAAGCTTTTACAGTCAAGTCAAAAATCCAAGAAAATTATTTTTTTTTACTATAAAAAATGTATTATGGTCGGCTATGGGCCCCTAAATGTCGTGGCCCCCCCCCCCGCATTGCGGGGTCTGGCGACACTGTAGTTCCGCCCCTGATTTTATTATACTGTTAATTACTACAAAAAACTCTTCCTTAATAAAAAAAAATAAATTACTTACTCCCAATCTTTTCCTTGATCTGTTTTATACAACCCAATCCAAACATTATTTACATTCTGTTTTGAACAAACAAAAAATATTGTTTTGCACTTTCATACATCTATATATATAATTCTCTTCTGGGAGACGCTAGAAAACAAGCTGTAAACGCGCTCCCTACCACCCCCACCCCTACATGATCTGGTGAGCTGTGGTTCACTCTAAATGTTTACAAACAGAGCCGGGTTTAGTGACGACTATTAGGGGCAGATAATTTAGTTTGAAACGATTTTAAACGTAGGGGGAGGGTAACTAAGTGGAGTTTACTTTAACGGAGGGGGGGGGGGGAGGGGGTTATCGTCCCTAAAGAGCTACTTATAGTGTTTTAAAGAAATACTTTTAGTGGCAGCGTTGGTAGTGTCGAATTCACAAATTATGAATAACTGATAAGTAGAAAAAACATCAACTAAATAGCGCGTATGATATGCCGCGGGTCGGCTCGTAAAAATTAATATTTTTATTTTCTTGTACAGGACAAGTAGCTGGAAGTAGGAATATATCTATTTAGGGTTGAGCATCGCTAGTCCCAAAACTAGGGTTGCACCCCGTGTGGAATAAAATCCGGTGACTTCCAAGAGAGCCAGATAAAATTGAATCTCCAAAAGATATTTTATAAAAAATAAAGTAATTAATTTGTATCTATAAATGCTTGAATCACTTCAAGTTTACTTACGTAGCTTGTAGACGTTTTCTTATCAGGTATGTGTATGTGTAGGTGTAGGTGTAGGTGTAGGTGTAGGTGTAGGTGTATGTGTATGTGTATGTGTATGTGTATGTGTATGTGTATGTGTATGTGTATGTGTATGTGTATGTGTATGTGTATGTGTATGTGTATGTGTATGTGTATGTGTATGTGTATGTGTATGTGTATGTGTATGTGTATGTGTATGTGTATGTGTATGTGTATGTGTATGTGTATGTGTATGTGTATGTGTATGTGTATGTGTATGTGTATGTGTATGTGTATGTGTATGTGTATGTGTATGTGTATGTGTATGTGTATGTGTATGTGTATGTGTATGTGTATGTGTATGTGTATGTGTATGTGTATGTGTATGTGTATGTGTATGTGTATGTGTATGTGTATGTGTATGTGTATGTGTATGTGTATGTGTATGTGTATGTGTATGTGTATGTGTATGTGTATGTGTATGTGTATGTGTATGTGTATGTGTATGTGTATGTGTATGTGTATGTGTATGTGTATGTGTATGTGTAGGTGTAGGTGTAGGTGTAGGTGTAGGTGTAGGTGTAGGTGTAGGTGTAGGTGTAGGTGTAGGTGTAGGTGTAGGTGTAGGTGTAGGTGTAGGTGTAGGTGTAGGTGTAGGTGTAGGTGTAGGTGTAGGTGTAGGTGTAGGTGTAGGTGTAGGTGTATGCGTATGCGTATGCGTATGCGTATGCGTATGCGTATGCGTATGTGAAGGTGTAGGTGTAGGTGTAGGTGTAGGTGTATGTGTATGTGTATGTGTATGTGTATGTGTATGTGTATGTGTATGTGTATGTGTATGTGTATGTGTATGTGTATGTGTATGTGTATGTGTATGTGTATGTGTATGTGTATGTGTATGTGTATGTGTATGTGTATGTGTATGTGTATGTGTATGTGTATGTGTATGTGTATGTGTATGTGTATGTGTATGTGTATGTGAATGTGTATGTGAATGTGTATGTGTATGTGTATGTGTATGTGTATGTGTATGTGTATGTGTATGTGTATGTGTATGTGTATGTGTATGTGTATGTGTATGTGTATGTGTATGTGTATGTGTATGTGTATGTGTATGTGTATGTGTATGTGTATGTGTATGTGTATGTGTATGTGTATGTGTATGTGTATGTGTATGTGTATGTGTATGTGTATGTGTATGTGTATGTGTATGTGTATGTGTATGTGTATGTGTAGGTGTAGGTGTAGGTGTAGGTGTAGGTGTAGGTGTAGGTGTAGGTGTAGGTGTAGGTGTAGGTGTAGGTGTAGGTGTAGGTGTAGGTGTAGGTGTAGGTGTAGGTGTAGGTGTAGGTGTAGGTGTAGGTGTAGGTGTAGGTGTAGGTGTAGGTGTAGGTGTAGGTGTAGGTGTAGGTGTAGGTGTAGGTGTAGGTGTAGGTGTAGGTGTAGGTGTAGGTGTAGGTGTAGGTGTAGGTGTAGGTGTAGGTGTAGGTGTAGGTGTAGGTGTAGGTGTAGGTGTAGGTGTGAGTGTGAGTGTGAGTGTGAGTGTGAGTGTGTGTGTGTGCGTGTGCGTACGCGTACGTGTACGTGTAGGTGTACCTATATATATATATGTATATATATATATATATATATATATATATATATATATATATATATATATATATATATATATATATATATATATAGTGTATATTTATGTATACAAATAATTATTATAATTATATATTTATATTTATGTATCTAGTAAACAAACATCGATACCTTCTTTTCTATGTACTCAGCCTCATCTTTTGATTCAATACTTGCTAGGTTTGCGTGATGTTGTCTACAGAAACTTTGTGCATCAGACCATGTCTTTCGTTCACGAACATGGAAGTAACAATGTTCATTGTAGTACCACCAGTCGGGCTCTGTACATTCTGTCAATGCAACCGATGATAACATTTATATGTAGACCTAAGACATTGAAAATAAAGACTTTTCTTTGATGCGTTGTGGATGTGTTGCTATGATTACCTGATTTGATTAGATGAGTCGTTGCAAGCACGAATAACAGTGATTCTAGCAAACAGTTCATTCCTCTAAGGAAATCTTATTATATCTTTTCAGCTTTAATGTTACGTCTTTCGTTATGCATAATAAATCCCAGCTAAATCAAATAATAAATATATTATATATATATATATATATATATATATATATATATATATATATATATATATATATGTATATATATATATATATATATATATATATATATATATATATATATATATATATATATATATATATATATATATATATATATATATATATATATATATATATATATATATATATATAAGTAACACAACAAGTTATATTGTATTTGTAGTATATGAAGATCCAACGTCTGTTACATTAATCCTTATTAACATGTCATGGTATGTGCACACTGTCGTGTTTAAATAGAAGTGCAATGTTAAGTGTCTGAGATAATTCAAGCACTTGCTGTTTCGCATCCTCATTAAGAGTGTCCATATGACGCTAAAACACAAACATAACGTCAATCCAGTTATCTGCTGTTTCATCCTAAAGCAAGTGTCACGTCTTAATCTTTGTAAACGGGAAACATAATTTGTAACAATGAGACAAAGACGTGTGTTGATCATTAACAAATTGTAATATTGTGATGGTGTGCTCTAGGCCAGTGGTTCTCAAAGTGAGCGATATCCCTCTGCTGTTACACTTCTGTAGGGCGGAGAACTTGTCGTGTGGGCGATAGAAAAAAGTTCAGCAGCTTTTGAGGGGCGGTTAACGCTTTAAGACGAAACCCATTGTCCGTTTTTGAGACCAAAAATATATTCAGAATTGTTTTGGTCTCGCAAATCTGGGTTAAAATCATATCATTCATTTTAGATATGGTAGGTTCGCATCCCTCTTGGTTAAAACTGATCTGTCTTTACTCGGACTATATTCTGTATCTGTATCTACCCTTGGCGTTGAAACATCACTTTCTGTTTATAGTGCTATTTCAGTAACAACGCCTGCTTTCATCCCATCAACACATTTACACTATACCCATTTAATGAAGTTACTATTTGTCTGTATCATCGTCCTTGTACTTGTGTCGTTTGTGCGGTCGAATAATAGTCCTTGTTGTGTTTATGACGTCATATTTTTGCGTTATAAAAAAGCAATGTTAGAAAACGAATTTTAGACGTTATTTCGCGTTTTAGATAACTGTTTTAATAAATTGTAATAGTTTAGACAAGATTTTGGAAAAATATCGATGTTTAAAAAAATTCAACTGCAATTTTGAGGGGGGTTGTAGGTTGAGGTGTGACGTCATTTTAGGGGGGGGGGTCTGGCTTTTTGTGACGACGTGTGACGGAGGGGAGGGCGGGAGGTAAAAATCGTCAAAAAAACGCGTGACGTCATTTATGGATGACCCCTTACACGGTAATTGTATCTACCCTTGGCGTTGAAATATCACGTTCTGTTTATAATTTATATTGCTGTTTCAGTACGCGCGTACTTTCCACACCCTCAACAAGTTTACTCTAGAATCAATGACGTCATCCTTTTTCGTGCAGCTTTAAAAGAAACACTGGTCGCATTTGTAGATTATACACACTAAAGGTAGGCACTACTTCTATAATCTAGCGTACAAAAATATGTTTTTGATCTCAGTTTTGTTGACAGTTAAGACCATTTTTTAAGTTAATCTACCAATACCTTTTAACACTACTAACTAGATTTGATGCTCACTCGCTCATACATTAAAGTACCCTTTGAACATGGAGGTCCGCGAAGCAGGTGAAGTAGAGTTCGCGTGTTTCATTGACGTCGGCATATGAAGTGATGATGTGGATGTAATTTTAACGTACAAAGATACTAGAATTGTATTTCTAAAGCACTTATTCAAATATTAAGCAAAGGAGAGCTTCATTTAAGGTTGCGATTTTCGTCAAGTTGCGATTCTAGTTCAGATTAGGACATTTAACTGCTTTAAAATATAATCTATTAGCAGAGGCGTAGTGAGGGGGTGCAAATCGAAAGTTTGTCCACGGGCGCCGGGAAGGGTCGCTACGCCTCTGTCTGCTAGGTACTTTACTTAGAATCTGGAATCAAAATATCACTAAATATTACTTGGAATAATTATTTTTTGTTTATTCTTTTACAAAGATGAAATCTATTGAATTTAAGTAAAGAAAATTATTAAAAATACTAAATTAGAACAAAGTATCATTTTATTTAAGGGTCGTCCATAAATGACGTCACACTCGTAGGGGGGAGGGGGTCCGTGATTTTGTGACGGTGTGTGATGAGGGGTAGGGGGGGGGGGGGTTAGATGGTGCGACGTCACACTTTTACATTATAAAAAAGCAATGTTAGAAAACGAGTTTTAGACGTTATTTCGCGTTTTAGAAAACTGTTTTTAATAAATTTTAATAGGAATTGATAAAAATACTCTATTTTGACAGAGTTCAGACTAGATTTTAGAAAAATTAAGATGTTTAAAAAAAAATCAACTGCAATTTTTAGGGGGGGGGGGGTTGTAGGCTGAGGTATGACGTCCTTTTGGGGGGGGGGGGTCTGGCTTTTTGTGACGACGTGTGACGGAGGGGGGGGAGGTAAAAATCGTCAAAAAAGGCGTGACGTCATTTATGGATGACCCCCTGAAAACCTTATTTAATTTTAAATGTGAATTAAAGGGAGAAAATGTTTTAACTTCCTTGTTATTATCAGTGTTCTCCGCCATCTGTATGTATCGTTATACGCTTATTGTTCACTTTCCCTTGAAGTGTGAAGTATCGTTAGCAAGGGCGAGATATGAATATTCGAATTGAATTGTTGTGAACATGATTCACACTGATAGCAAAAAAAACTTGGCGTCTATATGTTTTCAAGGCCTAGCTTTAAAGATTTTAAGATATATAGAGCAGGCTACACAAAAAATGTAACAATTATAGATTTTTGTTTTAAAGAAACTGTTTAAGTATCGGTATAACTATTCATATTATTATATTTATATTGTAATTTGATTTTGGACAACTTATTACGAATTCAAATAAATATTAATAAACTTTACAACTCTTTAAAACATAATTTTACGTAGGGTATATTTTTCTATAAGCTAGCCTACATCGTTTAGTTTATCATTATGATCCCTATCATTGTTTGCAGTTTTAAATAACTTAACAATAGTGGAAGTTTTTTTTTTTTTTTTACCGAATTATTTACAAATAATCACATTTAGTTTTAAAATACCAGCTGGCAAGTATCAAGACCAGAAGTTGGTGACCTACTTACAAGCCCTATTACAATTTTGTTAAGGCATTGCCATCTACTGTTTATCTATCTGGATTCGTTGAAACAAAGCTTTTATGGGTTGGAACACTTAGCATATGATAAATGAGGAATGTAACTTTTTTGTGCCTGGTAATCCATAGGGCAAGGTATAGATATAATATAGGTCTAAGTCAAAGTCTAGGTCTAAGTCTAAGTCTAAGTCTAAGTCTAAGTCTAAGTCTAAGTCTAAGTCTAAGTCTAAGTCTAAGTCTAAGTGTAAGTCTAAGTCTAAGTCTAAGTCTAAGTCTAAGTGTAAGTCTAAGTCTAAGTGTAAGTCTAAGTCTAAGTCTAAGTCTAAGTCTAAGTCTAAGTCTAAGTCTAAGTCTAAGTCTAAGTCTAAGTCTAAGTCTAAGTCTAAGTCTAAGTCTAAGTCTAAGTCTAAGTCTAAGTCTAAGTCTAAGTCTAAGTCTAAGTCTAAGTCTAAGTCTAAGTCTAAGTCTAAGCCTAAGCCTAAGCCTAAGCCTAAGCCTAAGCCTAAGTTTAAGTTTAAGTTTAAGTTTAAGTTTAAGTAAAGGTATAGGCAGAGGCGTAACGAGGGGGGGCGGGGTTGCGGACCGCACCGGGTACACCATTTAGGGGGATGACACCAAGGCAAAAAATAGCAAAATATATAGAGAAAATTTTGAGGGGATGCAAATCGAAAGTTTGATTGGGGGGGGGGGGGTGCAAATCGAAAATTGGAAGTTTGTCCCCGGGAAGGGTCGCTACGCCTCTGGTGGGTGACACCATTAAGTGCCGCATCGGGTGACACCCGACCTTGCTACGCCACTGGGTATAGGCATAGGCATATGTTAATAAAATAAACGGCTACTGGGCTTTACAGACTTGTATAACTGTTTTCTACATCACCATATTGAATAAGAAAGATGACCGGTAAACAACGCCTCAAATTTTCCCAACTGGGGCGGGGGATAGGGGGGGGGGGGTATTTTACCAACATGTATATCTATAAGCCTATATAAAATCGAAGACGGGGATTGTGTTCAAAATTGATAGTTCGCTCCGGGCGCCGGAAATCGTCGCTAGCCTCAATCAAGAGCTGCCTTTTATCGAGCCTGATGGACTGAGAGAAGAGGCGTAGCGGCCCCTCCATGCGCCGGCGAACAAACTTTCAATTTGGCGCTCCCCCCCCCCCCCCCTATATATTTTTTGTATATTTATCATTCAAAACTTCAGGAAAATGAGCTTTTAAATTTTTCCCAACCCATTTTGGCGCCCCTTGGGTCAGCGCCCAGGGACATATGTACACCCCCTCTCCCTTACTAAATTTAGCCACCATCGTTTATAAATAGGTCTATCTGTTCCTGTTCTTTATCATTTTAAAAGAGTTTTCTCGATTTCAATGAACAACTACTTATTATAAAGTTACAGTAGCCTACATACAAAAGTTACTGGCAAGTGCTATTGTTGTAGTATGTTACATATTAGTGTGGTTGGCGGTGAGCTATATTTAGGTGTGCTTGATGGGTTAAGTTTGTACTACATGTGTTGACCCGGATTCTCGTCTAAAAATAGTACAATATAATTATAGAAGTATATTCCTAGAGACACAGTTATACAACCGAAAAAAAAAATAACACAATTCCTAACTTTATCACTAGATAACTGGG